ACATCGAACCTAATTTAGGACCGACAGTACAAATGCAAGCCTCCACTGGGAAATCACTCCACAACAATTATTTGGCGACGAGGGATTCCAATTCATATGGTGGAGGAAAAAAATTTGCTCGCCACAGTATTATTTGGCGACGAAGATTCGGATTCATACGGTGGAAGAAAGAAAAAAAGTTTGCTTGCCACAATATTATTTGGCGACGAGGTATTTGGATTCATATGGTGGAAGTGAGAAAAAAAAAATTCATTTGTCACATAACAAATTTGGCAACGAGGGACTCGGATTCATACAGTGGAAGTGAGAAAAAAAAAATTCGTTTGTCACAGTATAATTTGCCGAAGGGATTTGGATTCATACGGTGGAAGAAAAAAAAATTCGCTCACCACAACATTATCTGGTGACGAAATTCGTATTCATATGGAGGAAAAAGAAAAAACTTGCTCATCACAATAATTTCGGTGACGAAATCTCGGATTCACACTTAAAAAAAAAAAAAATCTTGGCAAAGTTTTTCAAAAGACAAGACGTCAACTTAGTGTCAAAAAAAATCAGTCGTATTCTCAACTGAGAAAAGAATTTTTTTTTTCTCGATAATACAGTTTGCTCAAATAAGTCACGAATTGCAAATTCGTTGGACCCCCCTCTACAGTATTTAGGCATTGTGTAAACTTTTGCGAAGATGGAGGAATGCAAAAATATATTCCAGGAATTTTTTAAGTTCCAGTCGGAACAACAGATGACAATATTAGAACAACAGAGATCATTCCAGATGCAGCTACAGGAGGAAACTTTTAATAGACAAATGAAGTTTCAACAAGAAATGGAACAGATGCATAGGGAGTTTCAAAACAAAATTCTGGAAATAACTGAGAAGAGGAAAGAGAAAAATCTACAAAATGATTCTTTCCCAGAGAATACAATATGCAATTCAATTGAAATATTCACGTACAGTCCAGATGAAGAGAGAACTTTTGAGGAGTATTATAAAAATATACGAACGTGTATAATGAGGACTGCCACTCATGGTCTGAAGGAAAGAAGGTTAGGCTTCTTTTAAGCAAGTTAGGAACTGCTGAGCATAACAAATTGGTAAACTACATTTTACCGAAAAAAACTAGCGAGTTGACATTTACCAAGGTGGTAAATATATTAAGTGAATTATTTAGTAAAAAAACATCTTTGTTTCACAAGAGGTGGAAATGTTTGAATCTGATGAAAGATGACGAACAAGACTATATAACGTACGCAGCCAATGTGAACAAGCATTGTGAAGAATTCAAGCTGGCAGAGTTAAGCGCTGACAATTTTAAGTGCTTAGTGTTTGTTCAAGGGCTGATATCAGAAAGAGATGCAGAGTTGAGAAAATTAGTGCTGGCAAAATTGGAAAATGAACCAAGGATTACAATACAGAAGTTGGCAGAAGACTGCACAAGATATGTTAGCGTAAAGAAAGATTCAAAAAAGATAGAACAGTCTGGCATTTTGCATGTAAGGAAAATATGCTACAAAAAAGAAAGTCTACCAAAAAGAATTCGAAAATTGCGAATTATCAAGCAAAAAGTGAAATACCAGAGAAAAATAAACAAAAACTCTCGAAGCCATGTTTTGCTTGCGGTGAACTACACTGGTACAGATATTGCAATTTTAGGAATAAAAATGTTTCAACTGTAAAAGAGTGGGTCATAAAAGCTCACACTGCAGGTCAAAAAATAAAGACAATAAAATAAGAAAATTAAAGTCCAACGAGGTGAACGATGGAATAACCAGAAAATTAGTTACTGTCGAAATAAGTAATAAAAAATAAAAAAATAAAAATGCAACTCGACACTGGTTCTGACGTATTTATCATAAATTTGCATACGTGAAAGAAGTTGGGGAAACCAACTTTAATGAAGACAAATAAAATCGCGAGGTCAGTGACAGGAGGAAAAATACAATCTATTGGAGAATTTGTTACAAACGTCAAGTTAAATAAAAAAACGCGAAAAGCTAAACTATTTGTCATAGAAAATACCATGAACTTACTTGTTACGAATTGGATAACAGAATTTCAATTATGGGATCTACCGATAAATTCTTTCTGTTACAAAGTAGAAAGTTTAAACTACGAAGCCCAAAAATTAGTAAAGAAACTTAAGGGAACATTTCCTACTGTTTTTTCTCCAGGTTTGGGAATGTGTACCAAGATGGAGGTAAAATTCCAGCCAAAAGAAAACGCTCAGGCAGTATTCAAAAAGAAAAGTAATGTGCTGTTTGCTTCAATTGAACAGATAGATAAAGAATTGGACAGATTAGAGAAAACCGGTGTATTTAAAAAAATTGAGTGGGTAACACTGTGACATACATGAAAAACAAGCTCCAGAAAGTAAAGATGAAGCCGACACCAAGAAAAACTGGGGTGCGAGTTACCCGCAGCCAAGGACATGCAGTATTATTAAATGATTTAAGTCAACTGAAGTCACCACAGAAAACGTTAAGAAGCACAAGATCAACAAGAGGGAAGCTAGTGGCTGAACAAATAGAACCACAAGAAGAACCTACAGAAACTGAGACTCTATCCTTAAGACGCTCAAAGCGGAAGGTTGTTTCTGGTAACACTATGGAGGTACCAAAAAATAAAAAAGCGGATTGGCAATATGATGTACTTGGTGAAAGGCGAAAAATTCACGTGCAGTAACCAGATCAGACGACATTTTTCAGACGTGGTTGACAGCGGTCATGCAGAAGAAACACCGATGGAGGTGATTTTCGTTTGATCTAACAACGCCTGCAACAATTTTACCTGAGGTACGCCGATCCAGGAGAAAAAAAGAAAGGCAACTGATCATTTAAAAGTGGATCAAAAACGTAAATATGCTACGATGTTGGTAAAAAAAAAAAAAAAAAAATGAACTTTTTTTTTGTTGTTTTTTCTTCATATTTCCTGTAATAAATGAAAAATAAATAAAGAAAACTGTTTACTCCTACGGAGTAAAGTTTTAGGCGGGGATATTATAGTGGAACACACCTATTCTATAGTTAATAGACTCTCCCACCTATAATAAGTAGGAGTAGTAAGAGTAACGTGGGGGTCGCTCAGTGAGACGGGTCGGTCAGTCGAGGCCGGACGACCGTTAGTCGAATACTAAAGTATCAGCGTCCACAACTAGATTACTCTGCGTTATACCTATTATACCAAGTTCCTAACATTTTGTACATCGAACCTAATTTAGGACCGACAGTACAAATGCAAGCCTCCACTGGGAAATCACTCCACAACAATTATTTGGCGACAAGGGATTTGAAGTCATATGGTGGAAGAAAAAAAATTTGCTCGCCACAGCATTATTTGGCGACGAAGATTCAGATTCATACGGTGGAAGTGAGAAAAAAAAAAAATTCGTTCGCCACAGTATTATTTGGCAACGAAGATTCGGATTCATACGGTGGAAGAAAGAAAAAAGTTCGTTCACCACAATATTATTTGGCGACAAGGTATTTGGATTCATACGGTGGAAGTGAGAAAAAAAAAAAAATTTGTTTGTCACATAACAAATTTGGCTACGAGGGACTCGGATTCATACGGTGGAAGAGGAAAAAAAATTCGTTCGACACAGTATAATTTGGCGAAGGGATTTGGATTCATATGGTGGAAGAAAAAAAAAAAAATTCGCTCACCACATCATTATTTGGTGACGAAATTCGACCACAACTAGATTACTCTGCGTTATACCTATTATACAAAGTTCCTAACGTTTTGTACGTCAAACCTAATTTAGGACTGACTTAGTACAAATACAAGCCTCCACTGTGAAATCACTCCACAACAAGTTGGAAGGAATTAAGGGGTCACTAGAGCCAGTCAGTCAGTAAAACTATACCAACTCCAACTCTTGTTGAATTTACACTTTATTTAAAAAGTCCGATATTATAAAATTTTTATTGCTATTTCTTCTACTGTATATTCACTATTTCCTTTAAAGAAATTCATCTCAACTTCTTTTTTAAAGTCATTTTATTTTTTGCAGTTATTTTGTATTTGCAAAATTTTATATGTAAAAAATCTTACATATAGAATTTTAATTTTTGTTGTCTTTTACAACCTGTAAAAGATTATATTTCAACTTCTGTTATAGAATAGTTTTATTTTTGTTCTGTACTTGTTTCTTTTTTGAAAAGATATATTTATGTAAAATGTCTATTGTTATTTCGTCTATATCCTTTCAAAGATTTTGTCTAATTCTGTTAGAAAATATTGAAGAATGAATAGGTATGATATAAAAGCCACAATATCTTTATTCTTTAATATAAACTAGTTATAATGATATAGCCTACTCAATTTAGGAGTGTATGCATAGGTTTTAAGAGATTTGTAGTTCATAATAATTTAATTACATAAAGAGGAGTCAGAGATGCCAAAAATAGATGAGTTGGAGTCAAAGGTTTTGTGTTCTGACTCCACAGCCCTGAAGCTATCATTATGCAAAAATAATAACTCATATTAAACAACACTTGAGAATATAGATATTAATTTTTTTTTAAACATATTTTAGTGGAATATATCTGGTTGGAAGGAAAGTTCTTGCAATTTTTAAATAAATCTATTTAGGAACCATGAGAACTTTCCTTTCAACCAGATATGTTCCACTAAAATGTGTTAAAAAAAAAAAAATGAATATCTATATCCGCAAGTGTTGTCAAGTTTTGTGACTGGTAACAGACTAATTTTTTTTAACAACTATCCTAAACAAAATGTTACTTGTATATGCTGATTGATTGATTCATTTTCTGCAGGCTATTTAAAGACAGAAATTATCTTTTTTTTTTTTTTTTTATTTTGGATAATGATTTAATGATACAATTACTACTAATTAACTCATAGCTGGAGGGAGAAGTGGTGGATTCATACATTTCCCAAGGGTATTCGTGTGTAAGTGAGTATAAGGAACCCAACTGGAATTGGAACTTGTCTCTCCGATTAACAATTCCAAGTCATTATCCACCTGCACATCCAGGCTTACAGCACCTGGTATTCCCAAGCAGTCACCCATCTAGGTACTGACCAGCCTCTATGTTGCTTAACTCTAGTGATCAAATAGGAACCAATGTTTCAATGTGATGTGGCTGTAAGCCTTACTTGTATATGATCATCCATCTAGGTACTGACTGATGTTGCTTAACTACAGTGATCAAACAGGAACTGATGTTTCAACATGATGTGGTTGTAAGGCTTACTTGTATATGATATATATTTCAATTAGAGATGCAGTGCCCCTAAAAATGCCAAGATGAAACTACAATACTGATAACATTAATATTCCTGATAATCACTAGAAATAGTAAAAAAGCTCTGGATACTTTTTTGACAAATCTAATTCAGATACACAACGATTTATATGAAAACTGGAAAAATGTAGTAACACAATTAAACAGACAGATGGTCAGCTGATTTTGATAAATCTTTTTGGAATGAAATCTTGTAGGCTATATATATATATATTTTTCTTCTCTGCTAATATTGAAGCTTCCATGATTCAAGCAAGCAAGTTCTAAAAAAAAAAAAAAAATCCTTTTCATTTACTGCTTTTTAATATTAAATTTTATCATTATAATTTTCACTATTTTTTTTATTACATAAAATCTTGGAGAGTATACCACAAACTTCAAATATCAATTCTGTTTAATCTTTTAAATTTTAAGTGTTTACATAAAGAATAAATCAAAAAGTATATTTTTCTGATATGAAAAATTACTTGACATATACTGTCAGTCATAGACATCTTAGCTGACCAACTAGTTTTCCTTTAAAAACTTTCAATTCTGAAGGCAAACAAAAAATGTTGCTGATGACACTTTCAAAACCACCAAAGTAAGTGCAAATAAATTTAGATCTTTTTTTAATACTATTTTGACAACTCATTTCATTTTTTTTTCACTTGTCTTCATTTTTGTTATTTTTATGGTCTGTTCTCTGATCCTTAAATTTCAGATTAGAGCTTTTGATATTTTCCTGATTCTCTTGGATACAAGCTTCTTTATAATGCTATGGGGAGAGTGAAAAGTTTGTGGCCTGAGCTCCCAAAGTCTGATCATTGGATTCCAGAGAATAATATGGTATGTGGTTGAGAACACAGACTAATATAATAATTGTTAACTACTTTCCCTCAGAAAGAGAGAGAGAGTTCTGTATAAGTAGCCTTTGACCAGTATATCTTGTAGGGGTGTTCGGCTACTTCACAACAGCATCAATAGGAAAATTTAAAATTTTAAGAAAACAAATAAAAGTGCCTATAAATATATTCAAGGAATATTTCATGTTCTGTCAAAATGTGACTGATTGGGTAAATGTGAGGAGATAAACATTTCAGTTTAGAGCTCTTTTTTGTTCGTAAGCAAAAATATGTTCAACCTCCACAAAATTTATAGTTACAAATTTCTCTTCATTCTTCAATGCTTGGCTTACAGTTCAAAAGTAAAAATAATCACTCACTCAGTGCGTACTTTTAATGCTAGTAGCACTGTAATTTTATCCTTATAACTAAATAGAGGAACTTGTATTAAATTTCCAGTCGAACTAAAGGAAGAATACACATGAAAATATTTGATTTCATTTATATTAAATTCATGGTCTCTATTCACTTTGGATATCATTTAAACATCTAGTAGGATTGATATTTTACTTTTAAAAAATCAAATATAAATAATTCTCATTTCATTTTTGATCATCAAAAGAAGACAATGGATTCATACCATACAACTAACATGCGAAAAGATATCAGTGTTAAGATTGTGCAATAAAATGAATAAAGTAATTTATGTTAAAATTAAAATAGAAATGTTCTTCCAAAACATAAGTTTTAATGATAGAACAAATCCCCATAACATGAAAGAACAAATCCCCACAAGAAGAAAAAGATTAAATAAATAAAAATAATCATTATTGAATAATAATTATAATAACTGTAATTTTTAAAATTCTTTTTGTGTGTAAAATATAGAAAAAATGAAAATTAAAAAAAACAAGTAAGCAAAGTTTTCACTATAGGAAAGAGAATTTAAAATATGTCCTAAATAATGTAGCAAAATATGGCACCTTAATGTTGATCAGCTGTTAGCAAGTAATTCCCTTAAATCATTGTCATTGTTAATATTCACTGGATGCCCAACAAAACTCAACTTAATAAATATCAATAATTATTTTTACCAATAATTCTTTTTATAATTTTCCATTAAAATGATCTAACTCAAGATGAAATACATAATTTTTTTTTTCAATATAAGGTTGTGATTTTATTATCAGTTTCTGTCAGGATTCTAAAGGTTGTTCCCTCCCCTTGGCCCTGATGATTATTCCCATCTCAAAATCCTTTTACTGTCTTGGTTGCAATAAAGTTATCTGATCCAAAATAAGCAATCATAAATTATTTGTTGGCAACAAAGAAATAAATCTCAATAAAAATAAATAACTACAACAAAAATGTAAATAAATAAATCTAAACTCATTCAATAATCAACATCTGAGTATAACACTCAGCAAACATGCCTAATTATTGCAATTTAGTAGCTTTATTTTCTCCACTTTGGAAAAATACTACATAAAATTGATCAGGACTTGATATATAAAATTAAAGTAATTGAAAAAATACATACATTTATTCTAAAGTAACCAAACAGAAATTGTATATCTAAATAGTTTAAAATAAAATTAGTTAAGAGCTCTTGAGCAGAAAGCCACTGGCAACAAAACCAAAATCACTTACCTCCCAATCTTAGAAGATATACTGGTACAATTAACATTAATATGTGTTGAATGTAGTAAATCTCTTTCTCAAATTCCAGCTGAAGAAGATATAAAAAAAATAATTTACATTTATAAAATTCAAAACATATGTAATGAAATAAATGATTCTGTGTATAGTGATAAAATCTTTATTACTAAAAGTTATCATGGTCAAAAGTTTGGGGACCATCATTAATCTTTCTTTTTTGGAACAAGACAGAACAGTTAAACAAAGCATATTAATTTACCTGCATTCTTTTCATTTCAAAATCCTTTCTCAACATTTCAAAGCATGGAATGAATTTTTAAGTAACTCAAAAATGTCTAAGATGAATTGGTTCATTTCTAATGATATATTTAGATATGGAAAATAAGCAAGTAGTTTTTAATCATATATATTCACAAACAGAAAGAGAAAAATATTTTAAAATAGTGCAACCGCTGTAAAGCAAGGTCCTTCAAGTTACTGTTAGTTCAACCCTCAATAGGTGCTCCATTTTTGTGGCTTAGTAAATATCTACATATATTTCCAAATAAAAAGAAGTCACTACTTTCTTTATAACAATAAGAACTAAGTGAAGTAATAATACTTTCTCTATAACTACATATTGTAAAGGGTCTTAAAGTTCAGAGTGTATATGCTTATAAATCCATGAAAGTTAACTCTTTTTTTTTTAAAGTAATTTATAATCATTCAGTTTTGGTCAACATGATACCTATTTACCTCTTTGATTTCACCTTTCTTTGAACAGCTAAACTCTTTTGCATTATTGGTGTTGATACCACAATGTTTCATCTGATCCATTCTACAACCCCCTTCAGGTATATAATTCATATGTAAAAAAAAAAGTCTTTTATTTCCTAATACAAAATAACACCAATCAGTATTAAAAAAAATACATGTAACAAAAGAGTGGAGAATAGGCCGGACAAAATGTGATCTAAACAATAGAAAGAAGAAATTCAGTTGTCTATACAAAGCTTGGAATCTTGTAGATTTTTCCAACACTTTTTCTATTGCACCCGATGACTCTATGATGTTCAACATGTAAAGGATACAGATATTCACATGTCACAAGTACAGATTACTTCTACAAATATCTATCCACATAAAAAATCTCAATTTAAATCTTTGTCAAATCATATTGAGTAGTTGATACATTTCTTGACTTATATGATATCAACTTATGAATAATAATTTAACCATTTTCATAAATACCTGGCCAGCCTATTTTAAAGTCAGAGTTAAAAAGGAACTGATGACATTACAAGAGATGAAAGAAATAACTTCTTTTACCTCCTGTCATCAAACCCAATCTTCTCTACATATATAAACAACAACTACCTTAAAATCTCAATTGCTACAAATCTAAAGATCTAAATTCTATTTTAGAATCATGCATATAAAGAGGCATTCATTTGAAGATCAGTTCAGTTGAAGATCTTGACAGCAAAACACAAATCATCTAAAAGTAAAATTGCAGTCCTTCATTCAGTTCTATCAAATAATCAATATCACAGATGCACACACTGATTCTATAAGTACTAGAATATTTATGGTACCATACCAACTGTTGACATTGTCACTAAAGTGGACATCATATTTCAATCATTTTGCAAGCTCAAGCACATAACATGCAGTATGGATAAAATGCTTACAACAATCTATACATCAGAAAATATGCTATGATTTATTAAAATGAATTAGAATGAATATCAATATTAGGATGTCATTTATTAAATGAAATTTATGGCCTGTTCTATAAGTAAGTCCAAAGGGTTGTCCCAACATAGGTCTCTCTTATGTTCATAGATGCAGCCTTTTAGATTTCTTGATGTCTCATCTATGTAGCTTTTCTGGCATTGCAGGCACCTTACATCATAAATCACGGCGTCTGATGTGGTGTTGGATATTTTTTTCTTGATATCTTTGATTGTCTTGGAGGTGGTGGTATCTTAGAGATATCTAATTTGTTCTCAAATTTTGTTAATAAACTGTTGGAGGGTAGGATTATGAATTTTGTGTTTATGTTGTTAGTGGTGCCTACTTTTCTGAACTTTGTAATGTTCATTTTCTAGCATTGAGGAGGAATGTGGGTAGTGAAAAAGTCTAAATGTTTTTCAATTTATTTCTTTTCTTCATCTAGGTATTCTGGGTCACATATTCTAAGGGCTCTGAGATAAAACCCTATGATTATTTCTGATTTTATATTTTGGCTATAGTCGGAATAGAAATTGAGCAAATCATTTTTGCTTGTGGGTTATATGGATGCACATGTGGCTAAGTGATGAGAATATTAGCATTTAAACCATAAAACCTGAGTTCAAATCTCACTAGGGTCAATTTGTTAAGGAAGTGACTTCAGCCTGAGGAGACAATCATAGTATACAACACTATTGGAAAGTGCCTGAAACTATACCATGGCTTGAACCAAGCATTGAAAGTGAAATTGTGTAGACAGAACTGTTTAGAAACGTTTTATTGTTGTGCTAGCACAAAGTTACAAATCATCGTGACCAAAGTTTTGAACGTATCAGACTTGTTCAAACTGTTGATCACATCAGATTATGCACTCATTCTCTCAGAAACTGCTTCATAGTTGCAATATAAGCCACAGATGTTAAACAAATGCAATGTGCCTGAGCAGGCATCTGCAACAAAGATTAGCTATCAGACAGGTATAAGATATATATAATGGCTGGCCACTCATATCACACACAGTAAGCTTGCAGCTGATTAATGAAAAAACATTTATTTTATAGATCAAATAATTTTCAAGACTCCTATCCCAGTCAATGCCTTTAATCTAGCTGTGAATATTAATCATGCAGATTGAACTTCAGATCAAAATTCATCAAATAACTGTGTTAAGTTATAGATTTATTGATACACTCTGTGTGTATACAAACACAATTCTATTGTTGGCAATACTAAAGCACATTTTTTAACCATGATTTAGCGTCAAGTTAGATTTTATATATTATTATTATTCAATGAGTAACTACATTCTTAAACATGCTGCAAAACAGGTTTGTAATTCATTTGGTCATCAGGATTATTTGTTTTGCTTCAAGACTTAAATCTAACATTATTTATATATATGGAATACTGTTGTCATATTTGGGGAGGAGCTGCCCAGTCCTCACTCTCCAGTCTTGATAGAGTCCAAAAGCATCACAGAGTCAGTCAGTCAGTCTCTCTCTCTCTCTCTCTCAGGATATGGCAAGCCTCTCACTGCTCTATCACAACTTGCATGGAAATTTCTCGGACAAATTACATTGCTTGGTTTTGCCAGTTCTAACCTTCATGGCTAAGATCTACCATGCTGCTCACATTGTAGCAAACCACCAACATTCTCTCTATGTTCCATTGGTGAGAAGTAAGTTCCACTTGAACAGCTTCTTCCTGTAAAATACAGCTCTGTGAAACCAACTCCCAAGAGGATGCTTCCCCGATCACTATAATATGTTTAATCATTATCTTCCTCTCGTATACACATAAACAACCCTTTAATGTAACCCTCTACTTCAAGTGGCCCCTGGGTCTTGTACAGGGTGAACTTTATTGTAATATATGGGTTTAAAATACAATTTTTTAAATTTTAATAATTTTTTAAAGCCATAATTGTCTGTTTTTAAAAGCCAAAATAATTTTTTTATACTCCACAGATTGTATGTATATATATATATATATATATATAAAAGGATTTAATACACTTTAGTATCAATGAAAGAAATGCTCTTATACTGTAAATCAGTTTGTTACAAAGCAGAGAGAGAAAGAAGAAAGAATCACACAAGAATTTGTGCATTATTAAATTGCGATATCTAATTCATGTCTGACAAATACATTGAAAAGAAAGTCAGAACAATATTCAATCATTTAACAAAAGCAATAACATATGTCATAAGTCTATATTAGCCATTAATTATCCTAAATAAATAGTTTGATTCCATAAAAATGTTACAAAAATCCAGCAAAGTAAAATATTGGAAGTAGTATTCCACTTTTTCTGCTTTCTCTATCATTTCTATTTATCATTGCAAATGTGTATCGGAAAAAGTTAACTTTGTTCTAATACTAAATAAGTTCAGAGTTGCTTTGTTTTTTAATCATTGAACCTTAAGTAAGGTGTTAAAACCACTAAGACACAAAAGCTTACTGAGAATGAAAAAATTAAAAAAAAAAACATTATTAAAAAGAGGACAATAAGAGTACAGCATTCAAATGATGATTTGATGTTGTATTTAAATTTTTTTAAATTGTAGTTGACAGAAAAGCAAGAAGCCAGAAAAAAATTCCACAAGCAAAAAGTGCAAGAGAAAAACTGCTACCAAAGAACTTATGGTTACATCTAGCAATTTCAACAGTAACAATGATGAAAAATGATAAAGTTACAGAAGACTTATTAATTTTCAACTAGTATTTCTTCCATTTTTTCATTACTTTAAGATGATAGACATTGAAAATTAGCAATGCTTCATGTAAATACAAATACTCATTCTTGTTTCAGACATGTAGATTTTAATAACATTTCGTAATAAGACTAGCTCACTTTACTTTAAAAAATGAATTTCAATAGTAAGCTACAGACAATTTATTTACACTTTCAATTTAAAAATCCTAATTAATTACATATCTAATATTTAATACTCATGACCATTTTTTCTAGTTTTGACTCTTACCATAAAATTACTAAATTATTCAAGGAAAATATCCAATCTAAAATTTGCTTTGGTGCAATTACAATTTATGTTTTTGAATTCATTTAGCGAAGATATGCAAAATAGTTGACAAATCTTACAAATAAGAAGTACCTAAAAATGGTATTCACTTTTTAAGACTCAATATGCTTGCAGTAAAATTAATATTACAAGGAAAACAATATTATTACAAATACAATAATTAATTTGAAGCAACTGCTTTAAAATTTAAAAATATATATATAATAATAATAATCATGATTAAAATTAAAAAAAAAAAGCAAGAGGCATAGATGTTTTAATCAATAAATTCTTCATTCCAGAGATGGTTTAAGTAATAAGTGTCAAATATTAAAATGTACTTACTAATCGTGTGTTTATTACAGGAAAGAGGAGGGCTAGAGGTGCTCCTGATAACATATACATGTGCAAGCGAAATATGGCCAATGCAAATTTGCTTGGTGGTGCTGCAAGTAAAAATATCTAGAAAGAGAAAGAGAGAATTTTAAAAGGTATCAAAATACACTTTCAGTGTCAATCAATAACTATACACACACACACACACACATATATATATATACAGTACTAATACAATTCTATGATAAAAGAAATTTAAAGCATTTAATAAAACTTGATAATGATTTTATACCAACTCAACACTAAGTAATAATGTTTTATCAAGTTTTAATTTCCTTTTTACAATGACCAATATCTATTAGTAATTATACAATACTGCCCTTTATAAACAAGCAAATATAGCAGTATTCTTGTCTACATCTCAATGCAAATTAAAACAAATACAATTTGCATACTTATACTAATGTGATTTTGATAATTTCAGTGAGAAATCTGCAAGCATTTACAGTAAGTAAACTGTTACCTGATGACAGCAATTAATTTTCAACACACAAAATACTGAATAATAAATAAAAATTAATGATTAAAGCCTTGTAAATTAGTTATTTACAAAGTGTAGCTTAGATTGGGTACAAGATCACAAGTATAGGGTATCTAGTGAGGACTGAATTCACTACTTAGTGGTAAATAATTAGTGAAACTAGTTTGCAAAGTGTTACAACACAATGAGGTGCCCTAAAGTCATGTAAACTTGATTGCACACTTGAAAATACAAAATTTACACAGAACTACAAAAAGAAATAATATTCATTGAATTAATTAGTTAACTACATTGCATTTCTTACAAAATTTCCAAATAATTTTTTCTAATAAATTTGATTATGTGTCACATTTGTTGCTCAAGTATCTTAATTTTTCAAATTTCGTTTTTCATCATAATCTGATTAAAGTCTATGCAATCACTTGATATCAATTTTGATGATACAGGAAAATCTGAGTCTGTCTATATTTCTGAGATGAGGTATTATGTACATTATTTACATTATTCGGACTATTGTCCTTATCTTTGTCGCCATATTTATCACAGCGTTTCGGCCGTTGTACGCTCTGGCCTTCTTCAGATGGTTGGAATTTCGAACTGAACCCTTTATTTCGCTCACTGGGGTAGACTGTTCTAGTTCCACGTGCCATGTTTGATGGAAGTCAGTTATCAGTTATCTCCTGCTAATTTCCCTCTGAAAGTTCTCCACTGCCTTAACCGGGTATTGAACTCACACTTTTTGGGTCCTGTCACTGGATCTAACCAACGCCTTTATCCACTGTACCATGTGTCCTTGAGCGAAATAAAAGGTTCAGTTCGAAATTCCAACCACATGAAGAAGGCCAGAGCGTACAATGGCCGAAACGTTGTGATAAATATGGCAACAAAGATGAGGACAATAGTCCGAATAATGTAAATAATGTACAGGAAAATCTGTTAATAAAAACAGCAACATTTTATAAATAAAACTTGGTAAAATAGTGCATGAGTATATTTGTGAGCATAAACCCATCAACATCCTTATAAGAAAACAAAATAACAACTAATAACATTATCATAAGTAAACTGTATACATAATGAAAAACACAAAAATGGATTGGGATTATCCATATTGTCATATAAAAGAAAAATTGATAAGTATAAGCAGTCAATTGTTTATACCCACTGACGAATGGACAGAGTGATTCCTAGAGGGTTTATCTACTGGAGGTAACATCAATCAGCTAAGTGGCAAAACTTTTACTTACATTAATTATATATATATATATATATATATATATATATATATATACACACACACACACACACACACAAGTATAGGATTGGTGTATACGGAATAAATTCCAATAACCAACAATTACTATTCTTAAAAGAGTACTCAATACAGAGTAGAGCGAATATAATTATTTATTTGAAAATTCTAACATAAATATGTTATAAAATCACTACAAAAATAGTCATTTTGTTTCAACACCTCTGGTGTCTTATCAAGTGATGATGTTGAGGGTTAAAGGGTTTTCAAAAGTTCAAACCAATTAACCACTCCTTGCAAGGGGAAACGCTGTTACATAAGCTGGAATGACCAATGAAAATACAAGTATACGAGAATTCAAAAAACTTGACAACAAACTAAGGTTATAATAACTATTTAATGCCTTATGTCCCAATGTACTACATTATTTCAGGAATAGACAGCACACCCCATAAACTGGCGAAAAACATAACAAAAAATTTAACCCCTCTCCTTGGAACAATCAGCACAAATAAAAAATTCAGGTAACCTAGTTGAAAAACAAAGGGAAACAAATGTGAGTGACGAACTCATGGTCATTCTAAATATAAAATCTCTCTATATCAACATTCCTATTAAAAATGCTTAGATCTACTAAAAAAGCATTTAATAAAATCAAATCAATAACCCAAAAATTAAAAATGTGCCATCTCATCATTAATCAATGCTATTTCACATTTAATAATAATTTTCCTAAACAAAATTTTGGATTACCAATGGGATCACCTCTCAATGGAGTAATGACATGTATTTTCTTGAAATTTCTCAAATCTGGCCCTTTCCAAAATATTTTACCTAAACAATCAATATATTTCTGATATATTGATGATGCTCTATTAATATATCCCTGTGATACTGATTTGCTTGTTCTTGTAGATAAACTAAACAAAGTCAAACACACAACAGAATTTACATACAAAATGGAAGAAAACAATACTTTTTAATCTTTTCTAGATATCATGCAACACTATGTTAACAGTAGCTTAAAACTTAGTGTCCACCAATAATCAACTAATAAAAATGATCTAATACATTTCTATTCCCATCATAACAACAAAATAATCAAGAATAATCATTGGATTCTACTTAAAAACACTCAAAATTTGCAGCCCTCAATATTTACACAAAGAGGAGAAATACATTTAAAATACTTTCAAGCTCTGACAATATCTATTTCATATTCAATGTGAAACAAAATGTTCATAAAACTTAATAAATAAAGAAACCACAGCAGCAATGCTTAGGATGGGGAGGTTGTGGCCTTATACTCCACAGAGGAGTCTAAAGGACTTGCATGCATGCATACATCTCTAAAAAAGACAAAATTCACTAGTTCATTTTTAGCCAGTACAATAAATAAACAAATAAATCCTGACTGGTTCTTAGCACTTTTATATACTATGTCTTTTCATGGCTCTCCACAACTTTTTACCCTTTATAGCTCTTAGTAAGGTTCGTCTTTTCACCATCCCTTGCACTCCCTGTTCTACCATCCATTTACATAATCTTGTTAGGTAGGTTACTCAATATTTCCTTCTGTCCCTCTTTGGTTCAGTATCTTCTGAGTATAAAATTCTACAAGTCCTCTTTCCACATTATGTGCCCTGGAAATTTCAACTGTCTCTTTCTGATTCTAAGTGTAAGTGTCTTTTTTGTTTCCATTTTCCTTACATGTTCCTCGTTACTCATCTATGGTATTTTTAGAATTCTTCTGTAGAACCACAACCAAGACTCTTCATCATCTGTGAGGAAATTGTCCACCAATTGCCATGGAGGAATAATATTATATAACAGTTCAATATTCTCTTCTTTGTTTCTAAAGAAATTTTCCTGTTTCTTAATACTTTTCTTAGATTATAGAAAGCACTTTTGATATTCCAATGCATCTTTGGATTTCTGTGTCACATTTTCCATCTTCTGTAAAAGCACTTCCCAGGTATTTAAATTTCTATACTTGCTTGATTACTTGTTTAATAACAATTTGATAATGCTTCTAATAATTCTTAGTGGAACTGTTTCATAAACTATTGGTTACAGACTTCCAAAGTATGTTAAAAAAAAAGAAAAAAGTACCTTTTAATTTTTATACATTTTAAAAAGTGTCACATTTTGAATTAATTTATATTAAAACAACATGCTGGTTTACTTAATTTAATCAAATCGCAATTAGTTAGAAATGGCTGTTTTTTATGACTGTGCTATAGCAACATTTTAAAGAGTAGAAAGAAATATAGGGTAATTAATTTCAGAAAAAAACATCAAACTAGGTTTCATAAATTATTTACAAATTTTTTTTTTTTTTTTTTTTTCTACACTTTCTCAAGTGAAGACATGCCCAATACATTAGTAAATTTCTACACAATTTATGGCAATCTATTGAAAGTCAGTAGCAAGAAAAACAAGTGCCTCAAAGAGTTACTACTGATTCGACATGGACTGTCACACTTACTAAAAAAGGTCATTTTCATTGTAAATACTATTGTTCTTAATACTATTTGTTATATTTGATGCATTTGCATGTTAATATCATGTCTTGTGATTGTTGCTAGAAACAGAGTTATAAAATCTCAGCACCTTCCTCAGTATTCTTACAAACATCAGTACTTCCACAATCTCTATTTCTCTTAGAATCTTCAATTCCTTCAATTTTGTTTCCTGTGGTTATGATTCAAATGTGCTAAATATTATGAGAATAGCCTTAAATCTTTATGTCCCACAACTTTTTCTATTTCCAGGCAATGTCATAGTAGTTTTCATTTTTTTCTACTTTCTTTCATGTTCATCCTATTAGCACAACCAAACCTTTAACATTTTCCTTGTTTACAATAATCAAACCCAATGTTTTTGCTTTGATAGTCTGGTTGGTTTGGATCTCAATGTCCCAATGTATTTTATTCTTTATTTTCTGGAATAACTTCTGGTTTACACTCCAAATTGTAGTGATACTGGCAAATTAATATGCCTAATTTGCATAAGTGCAAGAGAAAGACTATATAACTGGTCACTGAGAATAACGTAAAAAAGAATACAAGCACTGACTAGTGCTAAACTTGGACTTCACATCAATGGTGTCGCAGATAGGATCGCATTTGTCTCTAGAAGATTCAGATTACGTGTTTTTCTGCCAGTGCAAGAAGTAAAAAGCTGAAAGACAACAAGGAGAAGGGAGGCGAAAATGAAATTACGGATTTATTTTTGGCTACAGCTGGATGCGAGGCGATAATGAAAGTTTCCACCATGGCATATCCCACAAACTTGGAAGACCTGACTTTCGAAAAAATAAGTCAGATTATA